TCAAGGTCCATCCATGTTGTTGCAAATGGCAGTATTTCATTCGTTTTTATAGCTGAGTAGTATTCCATTGTGTAGATATACCACATTTTCCGTATCCACTCATCTGATGATGGACATTTGGGCTGATTCCAGCTCTTGGCTATTGTAAAGAGTGCTGCAATGAACATTGGGGAACAGGTATACCTAATGAAGCTTGTTTTTCACTCACTGTGCTATTTCATCAGGAAAGAAAGAATATTTGCCACTAGTTTTCTTTTTTTTCCCCTCAATACAAGATTTTACTTTGACTTCAAGCCTACCTACTTGGTGTCCCCATTTGGAAATAAAAAGTCATGGCTGTTATTGGGTTCTTCACCAAGGCAGCCTAGATTTTTCTACCTTGACTATATTGTCTTAAAAAGGGTGATTTTTCTTTTCTATTACAGAAATAAGGGCTATAGGCTTTTAATCTGTAGCAATATAAAATAGAATTCTAGATTAAGCATATCAACTAAAACAACTGGGTCAAAAAAAAACTCCCTTTTCTTATTCTCTTGGTTTAAAAGTAAGTATCTTTTACTAGCACACATGGTGGAATATAGGGGTACAGATAATCCGAAATGGCAGAAGGTACCAAAACCATTGCTGAATATGAGTATCTCTCGTATTCTGGTGACTGACAAAACCTCAGAAGAATTATGCTCACTCTCCGTTCTCAGTACCTCAGAATGAAATTGCTATTTCAGGTGCAGAAGAGGGGCTGCCTCCCACGACACTGATTAACAACAACAATAAAAGCACAGAAATCAGGGGACGCGCAAGGAGCCCAGCACAAGGGAGGAGAGCGTGTTCATGCCCCATGCCTTCCCTGGGGATGGGACGAGAATGACAGTCGTCTCAGCCTGCACAGCCACACAGGAAGTCAAGCACAGGACACGTGAACAGTGCCATCTGGTCTGCACTCCCTCACTACCTGCAGTTTTTAAAGGACACCTGGAAAATTTAATTTTCTCGAACAAGTGACTTTTTATCAGTGAGAAAGAGGAACAGAATAATAGCAAAAGGCACTGGACTAAGCACTTTACATGGAATAACTTGTCTAATTCTCAAGACAGCCCCATTACTACCCACATGTCCTGTAGATGAAGAAAGTAAGGTGCAGATGGCAAAGCATCCTACCCAGGTCCTAGAGCTGGGAAGTGGGAAGTTCATCTTTTCTAACTATGACGTTTCTCAGCCTTCCCCTAATATGGAGGAATACAGGACGTGGAAACAAAAAGGTGGCCCTGGATGTGATGTCATCTGTGTGGGTGCATGTAAGGTCTCATGATGTAACTCCCTGAATGCATGCTCCACTCCACGTATGTCCCTTTAAAAGCTACAACTTTGTTGTCCTCCTTGCTATGAAAACCATGCCACTGGGACACCTGAAGGGGAATTAAGGTAACTAGAGAAAATCATCAATCATTCCTCCTGTGCACAATATGTAGATAAGGCTGCCCCAATATATACCAACCTTTGGGTTCTCCACCACCATTAGGGCTCAGGTTTGTCCAGAAAATACTATGATTGATATGACCTCCACCATTGAACTTCAGTGCAGGCTGAAGAGCAATCTGAGTTGTAACATCTCCTGAAATGTTAAAATGCAAACATATTTTTTTAAATTCTTACTTTTTCAACCACTCTATACACTATTTTTTTCTTTGTAAGATATAAGATAATTGGACCAGCTTGTGTACAATAACTATTGATCCTAAAATTCAGGAATTTCAGATTCTACCAAAAAAAGAACCCTCCCAAAAGTACTTGTCCCAGGGGATTTTCAGTTCAATGAATAACATGCTAAACAACTGGCGAGAGGTCCAGGAGAGGGGTAAAGCTGATAGAAAATTCACTCCTGACTGCCCAGGGGCTCAGGGTTCTTTGGGATAGAAAAGATTTCAGTAAAGAAAAACTAAAGAGAGCAATCAAGAAAAATAATTCAACGCTGAAATGTATGGCTCAATATGCATACGATATGGAATTTCAACTCCCATTTTCAAGATAGAACATACTCCTCCTATGGCCTTCTGCACCTCGGTAAGGGCCAGCTCTGTTCCTCAAGACGTTCTTGGTAGCTGGTGGCCACTTCCGACTCCTCTGCCCTCACCCCCACATCCAGTCCTCAGCACATGCGTTAGCACAGCCAGCCTTACCTTTAAAACACACCCAGAATCCAACCTTCTTCCCAACTCTGCTGCTCCTGCGTCAGTGCAGGGCACCAGCATCTCCCACCTGCACTGGTGCCACTGTCCCCTCACTGGCGGGAGGCTTCTCTCCATCCCCAAAAGCTTCCCTTCTCAGTGGAAGTGAACCCTAAGTCCTTCGACTCAGCTACCAAGAGGCCCGTCACCTGACCCCGCTCCAAGCCCTCGCTCCCCCAGCCCCAGCCACACTGCTCAGGCTCTGACTGCTGCTGCCTCTGCTGGAACGCTCTTCCCACCAAGTGTCAGACCTCACGCCCTTGACCCAAACGTTTCTCCACCGAAACGTCAGCCTCAGCAGTGGAGCCTTCTCCAGCCACAGCACACGAATGAGCAATTCTGCACCTCCACTCCCAGACCCTGTACCCCTCTGTCTTTTGCGACAGGACGCACAGCTCCCGGTATACAACAGCCCTTGGTTCTTGTCTCTCACTGGCCTGTAAGCTCCAGTGAGAACAAGGACTTTACTTCTGTGCACTGCTGTGTCCCCACTGCTAATACATTGCCTCCTACGCTGTAGGCACTCATTAAATATTTGTTGATTGACTACATAATTGAACATATTGAATGTGGTTTCCAAGAAAAAAAGTAATTTTCTATCAATAGTTTTTTTAAAAAGAATGTCATGTTTGAACTATCTGAATGGATTCTCAAAAAATTGGGAAAAGTAAATGGAAAGCTAAAAGAATCTTTTCTACTTTTCTAAACAAGCAGGCAAAATAAAGTATTTTTTTTTCTATTCTTTCAGAGAGCTACAGATTAAGTGAACTATTACAAAAACTGGAAATTCCCTTGTTCAGTCAATCCTGAGTGCTTGTCATTCACCACATACAAGAGGGACAAAGTAAAGGACACAGAGATCCACTGAGAGCTCTGCTCTCAAGGAGCTCCCAACTTGGGAGAAGTTCATGACTTGTGTTCTGAAAGCGTACACTAAGTACATATGGAAGAAATGTTGCTTTCTTAAATAAGGCCAAGTCTTCTGTTTAGCAACTCAAAAAGGAGGAGAGGACCAAGTGACATCTGAATATACAGATAATCTCTTACGATTTTTTTAATTTTTATTTTTTCCTTTTTTTTCCAGAAGCTGGCCAGTGCAAGGATCTGAAATCTTGACCTTGATGTTATCATCACCACACTCTCCCAAGTGAGCTCTTACAGCCTTTTTTAGATATCAATTTTCTTTTTTCTTTGTTATGTTTACAAAATAATTTTCATACAGATCACTGTTTCTCTTAATAGTTTTTCTCAGAGTCATTCTGAAAATAAAAAGTTAGGTTTTAAATTGTTCTTTCAATAAATCAATAGTAACTAGATTCTTCAAATGGGAAAGAAAGAAGCATATTGAGAGGTAATTTAATGAACTCAACTTCATAAAGCTTTCTTAACCATTTAAAAATTTTAATAGAAATTTTGGGGATTTAATATCTGCTGTTAAAAACACTTTTCTGAACTTCAACATTTTCTTTCGTTTCAGTTCAGCTTTTTTCCATAAATACAATAAAATAAAAGTTAAATATTTTTGGTTGAGAAGTATTTGTTAGTTACATGTGTTGACATTACAGTGCTATTTTACATATACTTTTTCCCAAGTTTCCTAACTCTTAAAAGATAACTTTTAAGTAAAAGAAAACTCTGCAGGTAGGTATTATTTTATTGGCAATAATAGTACAAGATGATGGGCCGGCTCATGGCTCACTGGGAGAGTGTGGTGCTGATAACACCAAGGCCCCGGGATGAAGGCCATGGGTTCGGATCCCATATAGGGATGGCCGGTTAGCTCATTGGTTGAGCATGGTGCTGACAACACCAAGTCAAGGGTTAAGATCCCCTTACCGGTCATCTTTAAAAAAAAAAAAAAAAAAAAAAATAGTACAAGATGTTATACAACTTTTTTTACAGTGCCTTTCATTGAAGAAGTAAAGCTTTGGTTCCACAAGAAAAGCACTGAAATTAAACTGTTTTCAAAGTACTGAAGAGAGAGACTCCCAAGTGTCAGATGACACCTTACAGGAAACTCTTTCACAACTGGGATGTTCCCCAGCCCTTCACCAACACCACAGTGTTCTCGTGTTTGTTATTGCCTGAATCACAGGGAGGCTTTTCCCGAATTCAAGGTACTGGGAGTGCTGCAAGTAAATCTTCCAGAATGTGGCAACTTCCTCCTCTTTTTGTTTTGCCATTGACCTCAGGCACGACCAGGCTGAAATACTGCATTTTTCCACTAGATGCCCCTAGTGAACAAGATGTCACTGTCTAAAAGTTAACAGATCTCACAGGCTTGAAATTCAATAACAATACACTTAAGAGAAAGCACATCTTTTTTACTGTGTAGCTTATCAAGCAATACAGATAGTCTGGAAACATTACTGTTAATTATTTTCCTTGTGCCAACCACTGACTAACTAATAGATTAAAAGGACAATGGCGGGTAGCCTGTTAGCTCTGTTGGTTAGACTGGTGCCTATAACAGCAAGGTCCGGGATTCCATCCCTTTACCGGCCAGCCAAAAATAAAAGGACAATACTATTTTGTATAGTGACTTTAAAACACAGTATTCCCATATTCACTCCCCCAAGGCACAAAAACAAAAAGGCCACATACTACTGGTTTTTTCAACTGAGCTCTTCAAAAAAAGTTCTTTACTCAATATTATACTTTAATTGAATTACAAATATTGGTAAAGATACAAGCCTATTTCACTTTCCAAAAATAGCTATTTTCCTTGTGAACTCTGACCTGTGAGTAAATCAAGAAAAGTATCAAGTCTAAAGGGCATACACTGTTCCACAGTTGGATAACTACTTTTTGGTAATGAACATAGCAATGCTAACTCTTGCCTCCTCTTCTCCCATGTTCAGTTAAACAAGTGGGCTAAGTGAAGTTTCACAGTACAGGATACTGGGAATCTCCAAGTCATATGCTGGACTCCAGATCCCATCTGGTCCCAGGACAATAATCATGACCACAGTTCCTATTACAATGCAGTCTCTTTCCGTCTCCCACTGTCAGTGGGACTACAGCCTGAGACTGTAGGCTCAATAGTTATATTGCACTTGAAAAAGGAGGCTGTGAGGCTGTCTATCTCCCACCTGCTGTCCAGACACACACACACTGGTTGTTGAGAGCAAAGCCCCACTCCTACTTCTCCCCGGAGGTTACACTGACACTCAAAAGCACGGTGATTGGGCCACAAGTGGACAGGAGCTCTGAGCTCTCTTGCTGAGAGACCTACCTGAGACACCAAACATTTCCCAAGAGCACATAATATAAGAAGGGAAAATTTTAATTGCCAATATGCAAAAACAAGTTACATATTAGTCTTTTAAAAAAGGCTCCACAGTTCACCAATGTTTGCAATGTGGGTAACAAAAATGGGGCAATTACCATAGCATAATTCAAAAACAAGTTCCTTTATGAGATTCTTTTTTTTTTTTTTTTTTTTTAAAGATGACTGGTAAGGGGATCTTAACCCTTGACTTGGTGTTGTCAGCACCATGCTCACCCCGTGAGCAAACCGGCCATCCCTATATGGGATCCGAACCCGTGGCCTTGGTGTTATCAGCACCGCACTCTCCCGAGTGAGCCACAGGCCGGCCCTATGAGATTCTAAGTTTTCTGATAAAAAAAAAAAGTTTGTACAAACCAATCTAGACAGTCATTCTACAACAAGATAGACCATAATTTAAAAGAGAGTCTCGTGCCTGGAAAACTCAGAACTGGTACAAACATGAGTGGGTTCTCCTGCAGGGAGAGGCGTTTCTGTGTGGAGACCCGCTCACTGTCGCCCCTGCCACGAGCCAGCACCTACCCTTGGCCAGCGCCTCCTGGTACTTCTCCTCGGTGACGTTCAGGTTGTTCACGTAGGCCGCGTGGTGCTTGCAGTGGTGCAGCTGCATGATCTGAGCGTTGATGTGAGGCTCCAGGGCGCCGTAGTCGTACGGCAGGTCGGGGAGGCTGTGCTTGTGACGGGAGCCCAGACACCCCAAGGCTGGGGCCAGCTTCCTGCTCGTGCTGGAAGACAGAAAACACGGCCGGGTCACGCCGCGCGGGCCGAGCCGCTGCACGCAGCCCGGGCTGCCC